ATGAAGGAGTATGCGACTGGGGGATGGGGTGTCATAAGAGAGTAGCCATGGAATTTAGGTCCATTTTGATCCTGAGCAAACAGGCAAAGACATGAGAAAACTGAATAACCAAGAGAGGGTAACTGTCCCTTTCTGCCACCCACTGGTTCCACTTTCAGAAGAGTTCCCTTCAGACACTTCTGTGCTAAACCATCCTGTATTCCCCCTGATCACATTCAACTCATGGATGCACAGACATTACTCACCTCTCAAATCTATACCATTCCCATTCTCCCCATTACCTACAGAAAATCTGCACTTGAGTGTAACAACCATGCAATGSAGCCAAAATGGAACTCAACACCTTTGTCATAAAGTGAAATTTCCTTTTAACTGGTCTATTTCTAATCCTGCTGAYTGGTCTTCTAAACTTTTGGTGTGAAACATTTGGAATCAGTTTCGAGAGATTCCTTTTGGTAACAACCAGAAAACTATAGGATCTCAAATACTTATTGTTTTCTAATAATCATGCAGTGGTTTTTGGGGGATCATCATTCAAGAAGAATGATGAAATGGGAAGCCACTGTCACTTCTGGGCTGCAGAGACAAAGGAAGGAGGTGATAAGATTGGAGCTCAGTGTGGAGGGCTCTGGTCTTCTGTCTCCAACCATTATTTCCTTAATTGTCTGAAGACAGGCTGTAGCCCAAATCCTGCAAGTGCAGCTCATGGGCATAAGAAACCCTTGTGACAGAGGAACCATGAAGGAATGAATCAGAAAGTATTCCAGCCCAGGACTGGCAAATCTTCATCCATGTTAGTCACTTAACTCACATAGTCAATGGAGTTTCCATTAGTAAATTATGTTAAATTTATAAAATTAAAGGAACATGTAAAAGGCTCCTGATTTCTAATTCAGTGTTTTCTGTCTCTGTCCCCTCCCTAATATCCTTCCTGGAATGTCTCTATGACTTTCCAGAGCATCCTCCAGGAGAATATGACAAAATATTCAGAAGTATTCACTGATGAAATTTCTCTGATAATAACCTAGCAAGAAAAAATACACATCTTATTTGATTAACATATTTAAAATGTTAGGACACAATAATAATTTTTAGGGTGAGTAGTTAATTATGCATATTTAAACCTTAAAGAGGGCAAACATGGGTTACTTTTCAAATTCTTAATTTCAGGATCACTAAATTCAATATTTACCAGATTAAATGGACTTCTCTCAATTCGAATATACTGTGTATAATTAAGCATCCAAAGTAGCCCATTGCTGATAATATTCATGAGGATAGGAAAACAGTGCAGCCTCTTGGTATTACACACGATTGAAAATCTATAATCCTTAAAATAAACAAAAACAACATCAATAAGTTTWATTCTAAGTCCTAGAAGAACAAAGGTACAGTTTTTATATATAAGAAGCTGAAGTGCCACATACTCCAGCAATGTGTCCATCTTCAAGGTTAGCAGACTTTCCTGAGCAAAAGTTTCCTCATCTGTGAAAGAGGATACTAAATAGATCATTACATGATTAATGAGATTATATACAAAAGGCCCTAGCACAGTGGATAGTACAGAGTCAGCATCCATTTCATGCAAATTTTTATTGGTTTTGCTAAATGCCTATGATTTTGTTCCCATTGTGTCTTCATGAGGAGGTTTCAACTTTTGTTGTCTAGGCAGTTCATGATGAGCAAGAATAGGAATTTTATCTCGGTAGGAGATACACATAGAGTTGATAAAACATTCATGTTTACACTGCCAGTGAAGTATTTCCACCCTTTCTAAGACAAGGTTAATGTACTTCATGTTGATGAAAATGCTCATGTGTTCATCAAGAGGTTCAAGTTGTTTAAACATTTGCAGTAGGTATTTAAGATAAAGCAGCTGTCAAAGTTGTTTCCTAAAGTTGGCAGAGTGACTGCATTTTTCATAATCCATTTAGTTTAGGTAGAGTTCGATGATACATTTTCAAAATATTTTGTTTTTATTTCCTTAATAGCAAGAAACAAAAAGATAACTATATTTATTTTGGCACCTTGCTCTTACTAAAGTAAGAGGCAAGAGTTCCACTTATGATTAGGATAGATTTTCATCTGGTTCCTTGATTTCTATGGCTCATTCACGTTTTCCTAAATTGAAACACATTAAGATAGCATATAAGGAATACTTTTCTCTCCAAGAGTCTGTGTGGATATTATAATATTTTTAGTATACTACAGTATAGTATATGTTTAGTATAGTATGTTTTACCAACATATCATACAGATAGCTAGGTATTAAATGGATTTCCTAAATTCATAATTATATGATAATTTTAACATGTAATAGTTCATTGAGTTTGATCAATATGACTAAATTTAGTTTCTTTCAAATATAAAAAAATTACATACTTTAAGAGGAGAAAAATGTTTCAAAAACACCCATTTTAACATCACAGTTTATTCAATGTGAACTAAAAATGTTTTTCTGAGTCAAAGTTACTATATACTAACTGGGTTGATTTTCTGCAGTTTTTAAGAGTTAAAATATAGCACTTTCTGTGCATTTGTGTGCAGTCATAAAAGCAAAACTCAAGAGACAAACGTACCTTTTGTTTACCAGAAACTATGATAGCGCCATTGTATGAGAGGCCTTCAGTGCCATTTCTGTTTTCAAAGTCATCTACTTCCAAAAGTATATTTTGATGCTTCAAAGACTGTATAAAATCTTCAATATTTGATTCTATAAGGATATCAAT